GCCACATTAAGAATCAAATACTTTCCAATCAGCTAGAACCTCGGCGAGGCAGCCAGCCACGGTCGTTAAAGCCCAGAACTGAAGACGACGCGTCGCGAGGCACAAATAGCAGAGAACGAGAAAGTTTCTTTTAAAAGAAATATACAACAGGCAAGCGGCCAGGCCCCCTCCCACTTGCGTGTGCTGTGGATGGATGTACTTTCTGGGAGTACATGGTTAAACGTGCTTGGTGTTACGCACACAGGGGCCCGACGATCAACTCGCACAACACTGGTCTACTGTCATCCCGCCCGTGGAGGTTTTAGCCGGTAAGAATCCGGCACTACCTTCTGCCCACCTGCGCTAGGGTGGTAAGATGTCTATGAAGAATTCCTCCACGTAAAAAAAAATTTTTTTTTATTATGAAAGGAGAGACGTTTAACACTCCCGTAGACAAGGGTGGAACACACATATAAATGGTAAGGCACTGTCGCCTTTCGGCGGCACTTACCAGATCTTTTTTGAAGGACCGCGGAGGGATTCCGCTATGCTAATAATTTTATGCTAAAAATAATTATTGGCATATAATAATTTTTGGTGCTAATAATTTCTCCTTTTGAGCATTGGATTTCGAAAAATATATTAGACGCGAATCTAGATGTTTGATCCATTGACATCGTGTAATCAAAAACGAAATAGATAAAAAAATTTGATATACAACACAGTATTACTGAGTGAATTTACTCTATTAATTACTAAATTCCAGACTTGAACAACATAATCATAGGCAAAACTTGGATACATACCGGTGGTTAGAAGGTGGCGCCTATTGACATTCTGAATCAAGTTCAGTAATCGTATTTCTTTGACTGATGAAATTAAAGATGTTATACGAGTAGCGATAATACCGTAAACTGTTTATAATTTAATTAGACATAATGTTACTTATAAGATTGTAAAAAATTTCTATTTGTAAATTGCTTCGTTAATTATTTTGTTTTACTTTATTTATATGATCATATATTACTTTATATCCTTTTATTTCATTTTATGTTTCTTTATCTCCTTTATTTATTTTATTTCATCAGCATAATTTTCTTTAATCTGTTCTATCTTTTCTAATAATCTGTGTGTTTGTTCGACGAACCGCGGGGAGACGTAGTCGCTAGGAGAGACGTCAACGGGAGTCGTAAATTCCCGTTACGATTATAACAATCGACACCACGACTTGATCGATCCCCTGATTTCCGTTGAGATAATAGCGGTGATTGAGTTCGTATAACACTGTGATTCACAGAATTATAAACTATATATATTTCCAACATTTAGATTACACTGTTGAGCATAGATAGATAGATAATCACTTATCGCACGAAGATACGATAGATATGTACGTTAGAGTAGGGCTCTTATAATTGGATTTAATGTATTAGTGGACGTAGCACTATAAGATATGTGACGGATCGGTATCAATAGGACGCCGACAGATCGAGCCGCGGGTACCAACCGCCAACACTATAGAGGGCTACGACGACAACGAGTCTATCGGTCTAACTCGCTAGCGGTCGAATATACGAGCGATTGATATAAATACCGCACCTAGCGAGACGCCCTCTACGTCTAAGGCAGGGACTACCGGGCATAGCCTTACTGACGAGTCCACCGGTAGTTCCGGGACGAAACGCAACTCTCTCTCTCTCTTCTCACCCGTCACATACTTGTCACCTAAGTGTCGGAAGTAATCTTCCCACATTTGCGTTGTGATTTTGTGTCGCGGCGGTACGTATACTGCTGACAACTGCAGTTGGTTGCTATTAGTCTGTACGGTAACGGTGGTTGCTTGTATATGTTCCTTACTGACCTGGCTGTGTAGGTGATGTTTAATGTCGTTTTTTATGACTACTGCCGTCCCTCCGTGTGCTTTTCCTGAGGGATGTTTGGTGTCGTATATGGTGTGGTGCGGTATTTTTATGTAGCCTTTTATTGTGGGGTGTGTTTCTGAGACGAGTATGTCACGGTGACTGTGGGAATGCAGCGAAAGCATAATTATATCTCGCATACCTTAGCCATCAAAACAGTAACTAAGCAGTAACGGAATCCCTATGGAGCACGGGATCATCGGATTTGTCCATGCCATTTTAGGTCAGGAAGTGAGGGCAGTGTACATTGCCTCGGATTGGACAGACGAAGGTTGGTGGACTAGGAAGGGTTTTAACCGCCCTCGATAGAAAGTTGCTAGTAGGAAGCATCGTACGTGAGAAAAACTAACTTTCCCGTGTCAAGCCGTCGTAAACAATCAAGCCGTAGTAAACAATAGTCTTTGGAAACTGATTTAGAAAAGAAATTTGTTGGGTCTGAAGGACCTTAGCACGCAAGTGACTCAGATTTATGACGGGTGCTTAAGGCTATTGAGGGTACGCCGTACAGACGAGCGGACATCTGGTGCCCGTCTGGTCCGCGGTGTGTGACCTGGGCCAGGCAGAGAGTCGCCCGGCGTAACACTGTGAGTACTGTAATTTTAAAGCCATTGGTTTGGATTCATTATAACTAATATTTTATTGATCTGCAGCATTTCAGTCAATATCACACCATTATGTTATTATTATTATATTATATTATTATATGGTTATTATTATATTACAACTGTTTTCTGAATAAACGCTAAAAATGGTTCACATTATGCAGTTGTTTATTGAAATCATTACAAAGTCTCGCAGTATCTAAACACACAACGCAACACTGAAAACTGTCGGAAAATAGCAACATTGCTGTTAATGATATTAGCATAGTCGTGTGTGCTATGTGTATGAACACAAGCGTCGGACGCGTGTATCAGCTGGTGTTGCTATGAGAGTGGTTCAGACAGGTGATCGATGTCAGCCATACAATTCGGATTTAAGACTCAGACTGCGGATTTCAGCGCAGCCGCGTAAGGCGCGGCTGTACGGCTAAGAAATTCCATCTTTAGACGATTGTCAGACGTGTACTTACATATGTTTAAGGCGGATTCAATATTTGAAAATATTTGAAAATCAGTTGGAAATAAAATTTTCAGAATTAAAAGACAGACGTATTGAAAGTATTGATTTTTTATTGCGAACGAAATGTCATTTAGATATGTTAAACCTTACACATTAAAACTGCAAAGGAGCAACTCGATTACAAAAATAGTTTCTGAATTCCATTTTCATGAAATGAGCAATTCACGTAAATTATATGATATGCCATTGAAAAAAATTCCTAACTTTGACGTCAAAAAATGATCGATTTGATGTGCAATGACCCTTATTGGAAAACAGGAGCATGTTTCTTCAATGTTTCAGTTATGCAAATGGGCGTGAGCCATACCACCATCTGATACTTATACTGTCTTTTCTATCGTTACTTAGTATACTATCTGGCACTTCGAGACTGAAAAAACTGATGTTTTACATTTTCTTCCTGTGATTCTTGTTTTCCTTTATTTGATTTAATTTAGTCAGCTTTTCGTAACAGCCTATACCTACAATTGTAACTAAGCGTACAGGTAATAATACATAGATAATAGCAATAGATAATGAAAAATAAATAATAAATAAATAGGTAATAATGTATTAATTAATTGAATGCTTCAGATAGAACGTTTTAATTTTATAAAAGGAGCGAAATAGGACATTTTTATCAAGAAACGACTTGAAATCATATTATTGAGATATGTATAATTTTATGTGCTAGACTAGGTTAGCTGCGTAGTAGCGATGCATGTATGTGAATATCAGAGTGTGCAATCGTGTGTGAGCGCGGCGTCTCGAAAACAAAGAAATGTAAACTGTTGAGTTAACAGTCTGGTATAGAAGAAAGTGCTGAGACGCGTGCAAGTGTGTATCGATGAATATCACTGAAATCGTTTATCAAATATAAATTCTAACTGTAAATTTAGTGTTCCTGAACCATAATTTCGGCTATTAAGATCCAAAATTCTGAAGATGTATTTAATTAGTATTTTTAAATATACGTAAACGCCAACATAGTAAGGAGAAAACAAAGAATAGAAGTGAAAGATAGAAAAATTTGTTATGACATTAGTGGTTTCAACATATGTACGTGGTATGCAATAAAATGTCCTATCGATTTTTAAAGGTAGGACCATTTAATTTATGACACTTTGTATTAGAACATTATAAATTGGTAAAAACATCTAAAAAAACAATTAGAGTAAATAAATCATGCTGTTTCTAGATCCCTACAAGCTGCATAGGATTTTCTGACTTTGTTTAAAAGGTTAAAAGTATGAAGAGCTTGAAATATTTCGACTAGTGGAAAAAATAAAAATTATTCCCAAAATTCTTACGAGGGAAGTTATTTAAAAAAAAAGTTAACTCTCCTTGGCAATAAAGAAAACCTACTAAATTATAAAAGATGTTTTGAAAAAATTAAGTGATTAAAAAGTATTAATTTTCGAGTGTTCTGTTTACGAAAAATCATTACAAATTATGGACTTTAGGTTTGGTTCGGGGCGAGGGTAACACGCAAATTGAAAGCTCTGTGGAAAAAGTGAAGTGTGAAGGGAAAAAGGAGAAGGAAACACAAAGTGACATGAAGAAGTTAAAATAAAGGGTGAGCAGACGTGGAGAAAGTGAAAGAAAAGGGAAAAGAAGACAGTAACGAGAGAGAGATGCAAATAAGAAAAACTAGAAGAGAAGAGGTTAGGAAGTCGGAAACACGGCAAAAGAAGTAAGGTGGGGAAACGACAGATGGCGACAAACAGTGGAAAGTCAAGGAACACGGGTAAAGCGGATGATAAGGCAGATTTCAAAAATACATTGGATAAATACAGCTTGTGAGAAAAATAGACACCTGCCTGGGAGAAAGGAATGGAGGTAATGACGGAAAAAATGGTGGAGGTAATGATGGAGAAAATAGAAAGAGGATTTGAAACAATGATAAAGGAAATAAAAGGTATATTCGAAAAGGAAGTAGCGGAGATGAAAAGGGAAATGAAAGCGGAAAGAAAAAGAAGGGAGAGAGAGAGAGAGAGTGAGAGAGAGCGAGAAGAGTGTGGAAAAGGGAAAAGAAAGAACTATTGGGCAGATGTCAGAAGAATCGAAGAGGAGAAGGACAGGGCAGAGAGAGAGAGAGAGAGAGAGAGAGAAGAAGAAGGAACATAGTAATCAAAGGAGTAGACTGGAACGAAGGAAGCAATGCAGAGACAGTAAAGGAGTTCATAAGAGAAAAAATGAAAATAGGGGCAGAAATAGAAAGAACACATATGATAAGGATGAGGGACAAAAACACAATAATAGTGGCGACGATGAAATCAATAGAGGAAAAAATGAGGATAATAAAGGAACAAAGCAAATTGGGAAAGGAGGTATACACAGATGACGATCTGACAAGAAAAGAAAGGGAGCTACAGCAACAAATAAGAAGGATAACTAGATTAAGAAGGGAAAAGGGCGAAGATGTGAGGATAGAATATAAGGAACTAAAAATAGAAAACAGATGGTACAGGTGCAACGAAAATGAAGAGAGGCTGGAGGAAGAAAGAAAGAGAGGGGAAGAACAATGAAAGTAGGGGAAAAGGGGGGAAAGGGGGGCTACAAAGGGGATGAAAATGTGCTTCTGGAATGTAGCAGGGTTGATAAGTAAGGTCAAGGAGATGTGGAAATATTTGAAGAAATTCGACGTGCTCCAGCTCACGCACGGTTACAGAGACCACTGATTAGTAGTAGTAGATTTACTGCATTGGCAATTAAATGATTGCGGATTTTGTCAATACCACCCAATGACAAAATCCGCAATGATACATCTATCGGAACAAGACCTGATATTTTTTACACGGCAAGTAAACTGTCACAATATAACCGGAACTCATAGCAATACATTTGACCGTTGTGAGAAGGGTATGTAGATACTTAAATTGTAATTGAAAATCAGTAGACGCCAGTAGGATGGGAAAAAAATTTAATTTGTAGAAAGGAAGAGAGAAAAAAAGATTAGACAAGATCAAGTTGTGCTTTATTCGTTTTACAATAGAATATGTCTGCAGAACAGCAATGAATATTTTAGTAATAGCATTTTACAATTAATTTAAAGATATCTAATACAAAAATTGAAATGTACAATAACGTAATAGTAAAATAATTAAGAAATATGATAAATACAGATATGTATGTATAACATTTTGTATGTAAATTAATTTCTAAGAAATGGACAGGTGCTATATTTTAATCTTTCAGTTTCGACAAAGAAGATAATTCTTTTCACTAACTTTGCAGGAATTCCAATCAGAAAATAAAATAAAAAAGTATACAACTTTCTATTAACTTTCGAAATCATTTTAAAAACAATTACAAATAACATATGAGTTGTACGAATAAAAATAGTTACATCCGAATCATTATCCACGCTAAACCCTTATTTATTTAGCATCAATTCCAATTTTTCTCATACAAAAGGAATGTCACGTGAAAGTATTTAATGCAAAGAGTTTAATTAAGAGTTTCCACGCTATTGACCATTCATTTTCGTACACGTTCGAACGTCCCTTGTGATAGGCTCTTCTTATTATTTTATTTACATCGTTCTTAACAATATGAGTAAAAATAACATAGAAAAAATTAGTTATTGGTATACTACTTGTAGCAGACTGCAGAACTAAAAAAAAGGCAGAAAATAGCGTGAAATTAAAAATTTTGGCGGGTTTAAAAAAATGAGTTTTTTAAAAAGAAAAAGTAGACTTTAAGGTGCTATAATAAACTTTTTGACGAAATTTCAGGGCACTCAGGATCCTCTCCTTGCATCTTAACACTACTCTTACTACAAGAAATATAATAGCAGCAAAAATATATTAAGAGCTTTATAATAGATTTAATAATAATACTTATAATTAAGGGAATTATTTACCTTTGCCCTTGTATTATGAGAGGGCTATGAAAAAAGTACATCTCCTTCATGAGGCTACTTAGAATACTTCCTATGATATACATTGCCACATTAAGAATCAAATACTTTCCAATCAGCTAGAACCTCGGCGAGGCAGCCAGCTACGGTCGTTAAAGCCCAGAACTGAAGACGACCCGTCGCGAGTTCGAATCTTCGGCATAAGGAGTCCTCCCCATCTAAAAAGGGACGGAAAAACCAAAATTTCTCTTAGAATATACAAACCGGCAAGCGGCCCGCCCCGCCCTTGCGTGTGTTCTGAGTGTACTTTCTGGGAGTACTTGGTTTTCAAACGTGCTTGGTGTTAAGCACACAGGGGCCCAACGATAAAAACTCGCACTGGTACACTGTCCCGTTCGTGGAGGTTTTAGCCGGTAAGAATCCGGCACTACCTTCTGCCCACCTGCGCTAGGGTGGTAAGATGTCTATGAAGAATTCCTCCACGTAAAAAAAAATTTTTTTTTATTATGAAATTTTTTGTAGTATGAAAGGAGAGACGCTTAACATTCCCGTAGACAAGGGGGAACACATATAAATGGTATCACTGGCGAATAATCTTTATCAATAATCGACATGAAAGTAGGTGTTACGCCACGATGCTTACCACGCGCTGTATTATCTAACCGTCGCTCGCGGCCCTACAGTGTCGCAGGCAGACCGTCTTATCTGCCCGCCGGATCATATACAATGTATCGACGGACGTGTCACGTAATTTTTAGAGTTGGTTGGTGGAAATAAAATATAGTTGAGTCGTAACACAACAATTAACTTTGTTTTAATCAACCTTTATTCTGAATTCACCAATCACAATGTAACACGCACTGAATTAGCATAAATCACAATTCACTCCAACCACGTTATGTAAGACTTAGTTACAACAATACATTAAGTATGCGACTTATAAGGGTAGAGACCGATATAGATATGTTGACTATTCTAAGGATACAGAATAAGTGAAATTTACTGACGATACTGTGTCTGAGGAAAGCTAGGGGTGGCTGTATCTAAGGACACGGGACTATCAGATTTGTTGATGACAATTTTGGTTAAGGAAGTGAGGGCAGTAGACACCGTCTCCGATTGGATAATAGGACGGTTGGTGGACCAGGAAGGGTTTTAGCCGCCCTCGCGAGAAAGTTGCCAACGAAACATACCAGATGTGGAGAAAACCAACTTTCTAAGCTAACACATGATAGACAATAAACGTACAGGGAAATTTAAGGCAGGAAATACTCGCTTGGTCCGAAGGACCTTAACTATAAAAATACCAAGGCCCCTGGTGGGCACTTAAGGCTATTGGGGGTGTGTGCCAAGGATATGCAGACATCTGGATGCCATCCTGTCCGTGGTGTGTGGCCTGGTCTCTGATGTGAATTGACGTTACAGACGCATAGTTGTCGCCAAGCAGCGAGCCCTAGAAACGTCGATTTTTGTCCGTAACGTTTTCGACACAAGAAGAGCCATACGTGATCGAGGTCGAGTCAACTTTGTGTAATTTATTCATCATATTATTGTCAAATATATTATTTTATGTTCACCTGTTAATACAGTGTTACTTCATTGAACCACCTCTGTTATCTTAATCGAAACAGGGGAACGACTATTTCGCGGCGTCGATTAACAGAATCGTTTTCCTAGCGATCGCGTCTCTCCGCGAAAGGTCGTAACAGTATAAAAAAGAACATAGTCGGACTACATGCCGTTGAATAGGGGGGGAGGGGGCAGAATTATAAAAAAACCAGGAAAAGCTAGAAGAGAAGGAGAAAAGGGAATGAACAAGCGAAAGTGTGGAAAAATACCTGGAGGAATTTAAAGACTGGACCTGCAAGGGAAGAACAGTAGAGGAAACGTGGACTGAAATCAAAAAGAAGATAAACGAAGCAATGCCAAAGAAGAAAGTGAAGATGAGGAAATGGGGTATGGGGGAGAAAGCGTGGTACAACAAGGAGTGGAAAGAAAGGAAAAGAGAGATGAGAAGGGAGATGACAATGTTTATGAACGGAAAATGCAGCAGAGAAGCGCTCATAGAGGGAAAAGAGAAAAGAAAAGAAAAGAAGCAAAAGAAAGCAACGGGGGAAAACGGGTTAGAAAATGAGGTACGAAAGTAGGCACCGAAGGAAGTGGGGGTGGCGTTATGGGAGTTAAGGGGGGGCTAAGGTTAATTCGTACAAAAAAGGCATGTTTCTGTGAATTTTTTGTGACGACACAGTTAGATTCTCTTTATTAAAACCAATAATACACTAAAGTATGACATTCGAAGTATATTGTATAAAATTTTCACGGACGTGTCTCGGAAAAAAGTAGAATTGCGGTGCCTCTCGTAACTTGGTGCTGTATCATCTGAAATCAAAAAATTAAAGTTCAATCGTTAGGAAACATTTTTCTCCAGGTAACGCTGGGAGGATTTTTCGAAATTTTAATTTTTCACTTTTTTGGAACACTTTGAATGGAAAAACGCGATTTTTTGCGAAAAAATCGGATAATTTGTTATTGTAAAATAAAAATAATTAACAAATTTGAAAAAACTCTCCAGCGTTACCTTGTAAATTATGTACAGAAATAGTGTTCAAACGGGCACCGAGATCTGAGGGGTAAGATTAGGTATTATATAGAGAGCGAACCATCTGCCGGGTAACAATAGCACACTCGAGTCGGGTAGGTATTAAAATCCTACATGTATGAAAATACTCGTAGGATGAAAATACTTTGTCAATTTTGCTCCAATCGACTTGAAATTTTGATACAATATTCTTAAGATATTATGCATTCAATTAAAAAAATACAAAAAAATTTTAATACCTCCCCCCCCCCCTTAAGGAGAATATGGAAATAGGGAGGGGGTACCAGAAGATTGGAAAAAAGGAGTAATAAGTCCGATATGTAGGAAGGGGGACAAGAGAGTAGCGAAGAGCTACAAGAATGGATACAGCATACAAGATCTATGCAGAGATACTGGACGAACGACTGAAGGCAGAGATTGAAAACAAACTGGAAGATTCGGATTCAGAAAAGGAAGAGGAGTGACCGATGCGGTTTTTGTGATAAACCACATCATATACAAGCAGCTAGGTAAAGAAAGAGGGAAATTATGTGCCTGCTTTGCGGACTTAAGAGCGGCGTTCAACAGACTAAACAGAGAGAAACTGGAGGAGAAAATGAGGAAAATGGGGATTAGCGAAAAACTAACCCGAAGGATTAAAGCGATATACGAAGAAACGAGGAATGTAGTGAGAGTCAAGAACCGCGACACAAGGGAATTTTGGACTGCGAGGGGAGTCAAACAAGACTGGTAGAAAAACTAAGGAAAGGACAAGCTGGGCGCATAGTGGTAGGAGAAAGAAAGGTATGGTCACTAACATATGCAGACGATATTGTGTCGATGGCAGATAGAGAAGAGGAGCTAAAAGATATGCTAAAGAGATTCAAACAATTTTTAAAGAAAGCCGAATTAGAACTAGCCGAATTAGAGCACGGAAAAGACCAAGATACTAGTTTTCGAAAAAAGAAGGAATAAAAGGAGACAAAGAAAAGGGAAATGGGGAGAGCAAGAATTAGAAGAAGTGGACGAGATAAGATACCTAGGGTACATGCTAGAGAAAAACGGCAGTGATGAGAAACACATACAAGACAGGAAAAAGAGAGCAACAATAGCAACGAAGAAAACATGGAGCCTGGGAGAAAGAATATTCAAACAGGACTACGAGAGGAGAATGAAGATGTTTGGAGCAGA